TGTAGGAATGAAATTAACCTATGGGTTTGAAACTCAATAAATATCATCAGTGCATTTCGTTATCAAATTAGAAATTTCGGACTCTAGATTTATACCGTTGCACGTAGATGGATTTTCGACAAAATCCAATTATTATAGCATTATCATAACATGTAGAGCCGGAGAATAATTATTCAAACTGTTATAGTGCCAAAACATCGTACCCAGACATACCATTTCATTCAAACTTATCGGAATGAACCTATTACTGAATTTAATGAATTAAACTTAATTAAGGTAAAAAAAAAGTTTTAAAAGGTCACTGTTCACTCTAAAATAGAAAATGAATTCGATACAATTCAAAAATCGAAGAAATGATTAAAACAAAATAATTTTTGAATTGTATTCCAGAAAAAATTTATTCACAAATAAAATTTCAAAAAGAGTTTTATTTTTTGAGTGAAGTTACGCGTTCAGTTCGTAAAAATCATAATTTAAAAATGAAATAAACATTTCACCTCTATATTCCTTGAATTTTCTTGGATATAAAAGAACAAAATGTGTAGAAAGTCTTTCTTCATCTCACCCTTGTTATTCGCTTAAGGTTAACTTGAGATGAAATATATTTTTTTGAGAGAAAATAAGAGTAAATTCGGATTTGAGGAGGGGTGTAGTGAAAAAGTGACATTCCTGTTCTTACAACCTTCATTTTTAATGAAAAATTAAATGGGGAAGTTGTATTATTATTCAATTTGTTAAATTTGGTCTTTAACTAAGAATTTGAAGAGTTTTTAAGTCATAAAAAGATAATTCATATAAATTTTTTTTTTGTAAAAATATCTACATGGTGATTTGAACTTGGATTGCCTATATGAAATATTATGTAGATGACTATTGAGGCAGCATAGTTATTTATTAAATCTTTGTAATCAAATTCACTTGACTTTAATCTCTTAAATTGTTGGGCTTGTAATTAATTTATGTCTTAGGCTTTCATAATCTTAAATGGGTTGAGCTTCCATAGATCGTTTATTAAATGAGCTAGGCTCATGGTGCTATAACATCACAAAATAATAGCATAATTTCATTTTATTTCTTGGGCTTCTACAACAATCACAAATATCCTTGTGAAAAAAGGCTTACCGAAAAAATCACCAAAAACTTTTCCCTTGAAAAAGACATTGTTCTCGAAGAAAGAAAGAGTGAAGTTCAAGCTAAAACAAAGCTCTTGAAATGTTTCTGGTTCCAGAGCATAGAAAATAATCTTTGAAATATTTACTTTGCTTTTCCCTTCTTGAAGAAAAGAATTGAGGACATAAGTTCTAGTAGTGAAGAAGAAACCGCTCATAGGAAAGCTAAGGCAATCCTGGTATAAGGGCCTACCCACGACCCTCCCACCTTGGGCCAGCAACATTTCCATCAATAGCATAGGCGAGGAGGAAGAAGACTTGTCATCTACTTAAGAAAAAAGTGCCTCCATGGTTTCAAACATGAGGAATATAACAAGATAGAAAATCGCCATGCGACAGCTCTTCATGCAAATTCCAAGACAGCAAATGCCTTACTTTACACTTCTAGAAAAAAGCCACTTCCTCAAGGAGAAAATGAAGTTCAAAGCTGAATTGCTCATTTTCACCTATGTCCCGAGAGAGAAGCTTCAAGAGAGGAAAGTTAAATTTGAAACCTCTGCCAATTATGCTTTTAGCCTACCTTTTGAGGCGTCGTTCAACTTTTCTCCTGATTATGAGCCTGAACGACAGCTCCAAAGGAGAATGAGTGTGTTTGATAGGATGGGTCCATTGTAGAGAAAGGACTTGGCCTCTTCAATTTAACAATCCCAGGATAAATCAAATAGATGACCACTGTATACAAAGGAATATATCCCACCTAGGTTAGGTCAATAGCCTAGAAGAGAAGAAGTGAGGCCCTACAAGAAGGAAGTCATCTCTTACAATGACATGAGCAATAAAAAGGCTAGAGACAATCAAAGGCGAAGGGACATCCCGATAGGCACAAATTCTAGACTAGTCACAAGGCAAAAGTTGGCAAAAAGGGCAAATGATTTCATGATGACTTTGGGTTTGCTCGTTTTTGGCAAATGGCTAGTCTAATTTGATTGGAGTTGCTAGTCTAATTTCGGGCAAAATCCATCGTTTAGGCCCTTGTTTAATCGTTTTTGTTATTTATGGTAGTTTTCATTTTTGCAATATCTCTTTCCATGAAATTCGGATTTAGATTCCGTTTGTTGGAGGATGATCTTGAAGATAAGTATTTTTTATCTTAGTAATTATACCACGGTTAGTGACTATACCACGGATTTTTATATATTGATTACAAGAAATGAGATGATAGAGATGGAGGAGCAGTTGGTGTCATGGTACGTGGGTGGTCTTCGTCCCCAAAGACAGGATACTCTCAATATGTTTAATCCTATGACAGTTTCTGAAGCACATCAAAGGGCAATACAGATAGAGAAGCAACAGTCCAAGAAAACTACTAGTCCTTCCATTGCAGGGACTTCTTCTAGTAACCCACAATAGCAGGTGGCACGTGTTAGTAATCCTGCTCAATCTGGTCCTCCTAGAACAAATCTTGCCCAACAACCAACACATCCTGGGGTTGGTATTCATTGTTTTGGATGCGGAGTTAAAGGCCACAAGCAGTCTGAGTGCCCAAAGAATCCGTGCAGGGGACTCTTTGTTGATGAGGGAAATGGCGATTATGAAGGTCCGCCTATATTTGACGGTGAGGACGGAGAAGAAGCAACAGAAGAGGAAGAGTTTGTGGTTGGTGATGTGGGTTAGGCACTGGTGTTGAGGAGGAGTTTCCTGACTCCTTTGAAGAATAACACTGATTGGTTGCGTAATAATATCTTTCAATCAACATGTACTGTTGGAGGGAAGGTGTGCAAATTTGTTATTGATTCTGGTAGTTGCGAGAATGTGGTGGCTAAGGAGGTTGTTAAGAAGCTGGGTTTACAGACTGAGAAACATCCCAAACCTTATAAATTAGCCTGGCTGAAAAGAGGCAATGATGTAGAAGTGTCTCAACGTGCTAGAATCAGCTTCTCCATCGGACCTACCTACAAAGATCAGGTCTTATGTGATGTAGTAGAGATGGATGCATGTCATTTACTATTAGGGAGGCCGTGGAAATTTGACAGGCACTCACTGCATGATGGATATACTAACACGTATAGCTTTCTGTTTGGGGAAAAGAAAATTGTGTTACTACCAGATAAGGGTTTAGTACAGACAGTTGGGAACAATGCCAATTTACTGACCAGAAAGAAGTTCGAGACAGAGATGGAGGAGTCTGGGGTAGTGTATGTGCTGATTGGAAAGTCGTTTGACAGTGAGCATGAAGTCCCTCTCGCAGTTCAGCCATTGTTAAAGGAGTTTCATGAAGTCTTCCTAGAAGAGCTTCCTGATGGAGTACCACCACTGCGGGATATTTAGCATCAGATTGACTTGGTGCCTGCAGCTACCCTACCTAACCGAGCGCATTACAGAATGAGCCCCACTGAGCATGAAGAGTTGCGCAGGTAAGTTGAGGAGCTTCTGGCAAAAGGACACATCAGGGAGAGTCTTAGTCCTTGTGTTGTTCCTGCTCTTCTCACACAGAAGAAGGATAACACGTGGCACATGTGCGTGGATAGTAGGGCAATCAATAAGATTACGGTGCGTTACCGCTTTCCTATTCCCCACCTAGATGATTTGTTGGATCAGCTTACCGGTCCTTGTATGTTAGCAAGCTTGATTTGAAGAGTGGGTATCATCAGATTTGGATCAAACGTAGGGATGAGTGGAAGACCGCATTAAGACGAGGGAAGGATTGTAAGAGTGGTTAGTCATGCCCTTCGGCCTTTCAAATGCACCCAGTATATTTATGCGGGTTATGAATCAGGCTCTTAGCCCATTCATCGGTAAATTTGTTGTGGTCTACTTTGATGATATTTTAATTTATAGTGCTAACGATGATGAACATGTTCGGCACCTTCGGGAAGTTCTTTCAGTTCTTCGCAGGGATAAATTCTATGCTGCAGTGAAGAAGTGTTCCTTTCTCACTGATAGTGTGGTGTTCCTAGGTTATGTGGTGTCAAAGGTGGGGTTAGCAGTTGATACATCTAAAGTAGAGGCGATAAGTCAGTGGCCACAGCCTAAGACTGTCACTGAGGTGCGGAGTTTTCATGGCCTTGCTTCCTTCTATCGCAGGTTCATACCGCATTTCAGTAGCATCATGGCACCAATTATAGATTGCATGAAGGATGGTAGGTTTCAGTGGAATCATGAGGCAGAGTCGTCTTTCCAATTGATTAAGCAGAAGTTGACTACTGCTCCAGTTTTGGTGTTGCCTGACTTTACCCAACCATTTGAGCTTCATTTTGATGCTTTGAAAGTGGGTATTGGTGGTGTGCTGAGTCAGAACAACTGCCCTGTTGCATATTTCAGTGAGAAGCTTTCTGGCCGAAGTCTCGGTATAGTACTTATGATGTCGAGTTCTATGCAATAGTTCAGGCCGTTTGACATTGGCGTCACTATTTGTTCCATAAGGAGTTCATTTTGTATAGGGATCATGATGCCCTTAAACACCTTGGTACTCAGGATAAGGTTTCTGCTCGACATGCCTCTTGGATTGCTTATCTACAGCAGTTTACTTTTGTGATCAAGCACAAGGCAGGTGCCCTTAACAAAATTGCGGATGCGTTGAGTAGGTGCCAAACGCTCCTTACAGAAATGTGAGTGGAGGTTCCAGGTTTTGACAGGTTGTGTGACTTATATGCTACTGACCCATACTTTTCCCATGTTGTCTAAAAGTTGCAGGAGGGTGTGCAGTCGAAGTTTACATGGGTTGATGGTTTTCTTTTTCATGGCAATCAGTTGTATCTTCCAGAGGGCAGTTTGAGGTTGAAGATCATTCAAGAGTTGCATAATGAGGGCCATGTGGGTTGTGACCGAACATTGCAGTTTGTTGCTGCTTCTTACTTTTGGCCATCATTGCGCAAAGATGTCAGCAAGTTTGTGGAGCGTTGTCGAGTTTGTCACTTGGCCAAGGGCAAGGCGACCAATGCGGGCTTGTATATGCCCCTACCTATCCCAACCCAGCCTTGGACAGATGTGAGCATGGATTTCGTTGTGGGACTTCCCAGGACCGAGCGTGGTTTTGATTCAATCTTCGTAGTGGTGATCGATTTTCAAAAATGGTACATTTCATCCCCTGCAAGAAGACTATAGATGCTGTAGCCTTATTATATTTTCGTGAAGTTTATAGCCTTCATGGACTACCTACATCTATTGTGTCCGATCGGGATACTCGTTTCCTCAGCCACTTCTGGCGCAGCCTATGGTGCTCTGTAAATACACGGCTGGACTTCAGCAGTGCATATCACCCTCAAACAGATGGTCAAACAGAGGTTGTTAACCGTTCCTTAGGTGACTTACTATGTTGTTTGGTTGGTGATCACATCAAGTCTTGGGATCACAAGTTGTGTTAAGCAGAATTCGCTCACAATCATGCTGTTAACCGAAGTACAGGTTTTAGTCCGTTCCAGGTGGTGTATGGCCTTATTCCTCGTGGTCCTTTTGATTTGGTTACAGTTTCTACTTCTGTTAAAATGCATGGTAAGGCCAAAGACTTTATTCAACTGCTGCAGCAGGTTCACTCATAGGCTCATGATCAGCTGCAGGCTGCTGTCGTTGAGTATAAGTGTGCTGCGGATATCAAATGTCGACATGTTGAGTTTGAGGTAGGTGACTTTGTTTGGGTGGTGTTAACAAAGGATCATGTTCCTGCTCATGAATACAACAAGCTTACTGCGAAGAAGATTGGTCCATTGGAGGTCATTGAGAAGATCAATCCGAATGCTTACCGTTTAAAGCTACCTAGCCATATTCGTACCTCCGACGTGTTCAATATCAAGCATTTGGTGTCATTTCATGGTGATAATTCTGATGATGATGATGATGCTCATTTCCCGTCAAATTCGAGGGCGAATTTTTCCCACCCTGAGGAGAATGATGAAGTGCATAAGGGATTAGAGTTCATGGCAAAATGGGACCATCACAAGGCAAAAGTTGGCAAAAAGGGCAAATGATTTCAGGATGACTTTGGGTTTGCTCGTTTTTGGCAAATCGCTAGTCTAATTTGATTGGAGTCGAGCCAAGGAATAAAACACAGGGCCTTTGGCCCTGATGCAAGGCCAATTTCGGGCAAAATCTATCGTTTAGGCCCTCGTTAATCATTTTTGCTATTTATGGTAATTTTCATTTTTGCAATATCTCTTTCCATGAAATTCGGATTTAGATTCCATTTGTTGGAGGATGATCCTGAAGATAAGTATTTTCCATCTTAGTAATTATCTCATATTTTCCATTTTTGGAAAAAAAATCTTTTATTTTATTTTATTTTATTTTCCGGATTTTCCTAGGTTTTTCTTCTCTTTAATTAATTGTAAGCCCTTAGAGGCAGTAGTTCTTGAATTCAATAAAATCTTCCTTGAGAATTTTCTCAATTTGTGATTGTTCATCTTCCCTATAATATTTTCGCTACATCACTAGTCTAGGAGATAGTACTATCTTTGGAGGCCCATATGTGGGAGGTAAAATGAGGAATGCCCAAAGAAATTATACCAGGGAAGCAAACGACCCTCTAATGGCAAGTTATATTGTAAATAATAGCCCACAGGGTGGGAGAAGTGTAGAACCAATCACTTTTATCCAAGAAGATGCTTTTGGCATGGACTACCCTCCTTGTCATGTTCTAATTGTTAGAGCTATTATGGCGCGAAATGGAGAAAAACGTACGTTGATGGAAATGAAAGCTCAGTGAACATCTTGTTCGGAGCTACTTCTGATAAAATGATGGTAGACCACGAGTTAAGTCGCATAAAGTTAGTAGTGTCTGGACCAATTGTAAATTAGCTTTTGTAGTGGATCTTTTTGACAAAGATTGCTTGAATGTTTTTTTTATCTTTGTGAATAGTTCTTCATAGGTTTTCCCCATCATCAATTTTTGATGTTATCTACTTTTTATAAACTACACCAAAAGCATGCATTTGCAGCGGCCAAAAAATGCTGCAAAAGACCTTTTGCAGCGTTTTAGCGTATGTTGCGATGGTCAATGTTGCCATTGAGGAAGACTTTTTGCAGTGTTTATTAGACATTGCGAAAAGTGACTTTTCGCAGCGTTTATTAGACGTTGCAAAAAATCACTTTTCGCAGCATTTATAAGACGTTGCGAAAAGTCACTTTTTGCAACGTTTAATAGACGTTGCAAAAAGTCACTTTTCGCAACATCTAAAAAACGCTGCAAAAAGTTCAG